ATGAAAAAAACTGAGAAGCATAAATTGCATACTTCTAGAACTTTAGAAATAGAATTTAAATCAGTCAAGTAGTTTTTCCAACTCATCGGTTTTAGCCATGTATTTGTCTAGCTTTTGATCGGTATCCTTTTTACAAAATAGCTCGTTTTGAAGTTTCTGCACTTTTTTATCCGATAATTGCTCAAAAGGTTAATTTCTTCCATCATGGCTTCCATGGTCATTGATAATCAATTTTTGATTTCACTTTGCTTTGCAATTGATACAAGAATAAAAAAAATGGGTTTTCAATGTGATCACGATGTACTTCCATGACATCATTACCATTAGCATATTACAAGATCCAACCTTCGCTTAACTCAAATATGCAACACTGAATTTCACCATTCAATCATTTACTTTATATAGAATCGGCTCACAGAGAATCAGCAAACATTTATGCAAGGCGTCATAGGTACTTTAATATTGATGAGGGGAAGAGTTTTAAGACTCTCYCGGCTCTCTCACCTCCAGCTTCGTCAACTCCTCGCAGTATGGACATTCTAAATTTTGTTTCATACATATGCTGTCACTCATGAGGCTGCGTCAACGCTATTGTATCAGCTATGAGTCTGAGATGTTTTAACTGACATTCACACGAAATGAAACTAAAATCATTCCTCTAATTGTCAATATGCCACGTAGTTTTCAGCAACAATCAGGCAAATACAATTATGAAATATCACACTTATTAGAACTAAAAATCATTTCAATCGTCATACCAATCTTCTTTATACAAGACGATACTTTCGCTATTATGAATCTACTGGCTAATAAACTATTGTCAAAAGGACAACATTTGTATTCACACACCTTCAAAAGTATGAATATGGAATAGCTAATCGATCCCTGTACGAATTTTGGAAGCATTCATGTACGGTATTGCCATCAATTTTGTTTGATTTATCTTTTGCGGACTATTAACAAATAACTTATCTGAGACAATACGGCATTGTTTGAAATCTAAATCTAAATTAACACAGCTCCCATAATTGCTAATCTAATCTATGTCTGTTCGACTGACCGTCTTTGAATTATTGGATAGAAACAGACCCTGTACTAGAGTTGATAAAAAAAGATTATAAAGAAAACCGTGAGTTCTTGTCAATTCCTGATTGGCTATTTCAAAGATTTAATCGACGAATAAAACCTTGGACGGTTAATTATCGGTACAATTAACGTAATAGTCTATAAAATCAATTCATTATTAATAAATTAAGGAATAAAAGACGAAATTCCGTGTTTGATACTCTGATCAAAACACGCGGGATGTAGGGAGAGCACGAGAGAAGCGTAGGAAACCACGACGCGTAGCGGTGTGGTTTCCAGCTTTTCGAGTTAAAATTAAAAGAAAAAAAAATTTTTTGACGCCCGCGAGCGTGTTTTGATACTGTAATCAAACATGGTTTTCGACAATCACAGCGAGCGTAGTATCCTAAATATTTTAGAAGTATCCAATTAATATTAATTGATTATAGCTTAAGTTTGGCCAGTTTTCCTACGCCTCAGCGCTTACTTACATCACCATTAAACTCAGTTAAGATATTTGATTATTAAGCTTTAATTATAACTTCATTTTTTGGCATCAAATTCAAAGAATGTGTGTCTATTAACATTCACTAGTAGGTCAGTTTTCAAGATACTTTTTTCAATCTTACCTCAAAGAACGGAGGACTTGCCTTGAGGAAGTCAGTTTTTCTATATGAACTACAGCTCAAACAGTAGTTCATTTGTAATGCGTCTTACGTCATTCCCCTTCCCTCTACCCCTTCCTAATACCCCTTACCTCCCCTCCCTTGAACCAACGATAGCATGACTACTGATCCAGTACCTGGACTGCTTTTAATTAACTGACTTCTTTACAATGTTCTCCACTGGTCTTCACTGTATTACAGCTGCATTAACGATGCCTGGAAGTACAATGACATTTGATGTATCGATTTTTCACATTCTCCACTCTTGGCAGGCCAAGCAGGTTCCCCTCCCTCGTTTCTTCATAAAAACAAAAGCTTAATATTAGAATATGATAGGCTTAAACATTTTATGGTCTCCGAACGCGTCAGCCCAGTGTTATAAAATGTCAATTTCTAAGCTTTCTCTCCTTTTTCAGAAATGTATTATTTACTACATTCTGTAAACTTTGAGTTCGTGCTATTTTGTCTCACAGCACTTAGTCAGCTAAAAAGAATGCTCAGAAGCGTGTTTTATAGTTAAACTCAAACCAAATAAGAAAAACATTCCTTTGCATATTGTAAAAATACATTGATGCTGGAATGACGCTCAGTCTATTTACACTAGTGAACGACAGGGTCAAAGTGACTTTCATTTTACTTGGCGTGTTTCAGCATGAGCTAGCATTCCCCCTCCATTGTTTTCCGTGAGTCTCAGCATTACTTTCACTTCGTAGTAACCCCCTTGAGTTCTTGAGTTTATTGTTAGACATGAAAGCATCTTTCAATATATACATGAAGTTTCCTTTTTTTCCAAGCAAATATTTTTTAGGTAGAAATATGAAATCATTTTTTAATTGTGCATCGTGATTGTCCATAGTTTGATAGTTTCTTTTAGTTATCGTTGCCGTGGGAAATCAGTGAATCTTTTGATTCGAACTTACTTTCAGTAAAAAAAATTTAATATGATGATTTTTGTGTCATTTTACTCATATCATGAGATATTTGAGAAAAGCGGTGCTGTCAGATAGAGGGAGGCAACCGGTTGTAAGTAAGACCAGTGAAACCTTTGCTATATACTTTGATCAGGGGCGGATTCAGACTAGTTCAACTAATTTCCTGAAACTAGTCAGATTTTTCCCAAAAATGAAATAATGAGGGATACTTTAAATAGAATTATAGAAACGAAAAGAATTAGAGAGTATTTTACCGTGTCAGCTGACATACGATCGCTTTGGCCGCCATTTTGAAAAGTTTTAAAACTACAATAAATATATACTACCAACACTGTTTAAATCTGTTGCTTTTGTGTCGGAATGTGCACAAACCACTCGTGAAACCGTTCAAAAGATACATTGAAATCGTCAAACAGATTCGGATTCATGTGAACATTCTTCATGCGGTCAAGATCTCGGTCTGATCTTTTCCCGTGCAGACCTCGCTCTCGGTTAATAACCTCTTAATATTCGAGTACACACACTAGACAACATAGCTAAAACAGGGGAACCTGAAAATTACTCCTTGCTCTTCCTCTCCCTTATTTTTTCAATATTTATACGTAAAACAACTCAAAGCAAAATAACTACACCACTTTGACCTCGCCTTTACTTTAGTTTCAATCTTGAAGGAACGGTATCAGAAACAATAACATTGCCAGTAACAATAACTTTATCAGTAACAATAACGTTGTACCGTTGTCAGTAACAATACAAGTAGTTTCATTGCACACTGTGTCATTAGCACAAATAACTAGGAGCGTCCATTATACACACGTTTTCATAGACGTGTCTACTTTAAGATTTTCCTCAGTCGTCTCTTTAGTAATAGCCTCTTCGCTATCGCTTGCTTCAGAAAGATTAGAAGAGAAAAATCGCTTTCACAAACATTCGCCATGTTTATTTATTATTAGAGTTTTAGATTCACGTTTATTTCAAACACAAAACGTCAAATTGGCTTTTATGCTTTGTCTTCAAACGCGTGCCTAAAACTCTCTTTTTTATTTTGGTTTCCCGCAGATCTCTCGCTAGTAACACCGGATCAAGGTGTTTTTCTCATGGGTCGGAGAAAAATCTAAATAAAGACACGTCCTTGAGAACTCAAATACAACAATTCACAATATTCCATACACTGGTTCAGTGACCATGAACAAACCATTGAAACGAGGCGTCAAGGTACAAGGTACTGCGCTCAGTGTACCTTGACGCCTCGGTTCAATGCTTTGTGTATGCTAATAGTATGCTATAAGAATTGTCTTTAATTTATCTAAAAAATGAAAAAAACTATAAATTAAAATTAATTATGGTTTTGAAGCCACAAAAATATCACTTCTTTTGCTATGAACTAAGCTTTCAGTCCAAAGTTCTTTTTCCAGGACATTCGTCAGAGAGACAATTCTAACTACCAAAAGTCTATCTTGACTGATTTTGTTCAAATTTCTTTTTATAGCCAAGCTTTCAGGAGCTTTTAAAGGCCAACATTTAATGCCAAATTATACTTTAAATTAAAAAAAAAACACAAATTGTTAACTATGAATTTATGAGAATAGTAAGGTATTCAAAGTCTCAATTTATTTTCATTGCATGAAAATGCATTTGCACCTTTTTTTAAGGTGTGCAAAAGCCTGCTGGTTTCTATATGATAATTACGATGTAAGAGCGATTTTCGATCGATCGCCGCAACAATCGCAGAGAAGTTTACACGTACGATTTTAGTTGCGATTAAGTGGCGATTATCGCGCTGCAAAAATTGCAAGTGTAAAAGTAGCTTTAGATCGCCAGCGATTTTTCAGTAAATAAGGAAACACTTTCTTAAGTGCTCCAGTCTATTCCGTCGACCATAATAAAACCGCGACCCTAGTGATTATTAGTGAAATTCGAGTGGCACTTTTGCCGTACTTCTTCTGCATTATCATTCAGTAAGTGTTATAATGTACCGACGAAAAAATATTTACATTTTCCTAAATATTCTGCTGGTACTAGTTTCATTGCAAGCTCTAAAAATGACCTCTCCTTGGCTGACATTGTTTCGGCAATTTTTTGCAGGTCTTCTTCTTTCAGTAGATTAGGGTGGGCCTCATGATTTCTCTCCCTCATCGTCTTTTCCATAAAATCAACAAAGTCCGAACCAATCTCTTCTTTCTTTGTTCTCAAAATTTCTTTTTTCTCGTCTTGTTTCTTTTTAGATTTATATGTCAATTCGATTTTTTTTTCAATGTTCTTTAGAAAAATCTGTTTGAACTCTTTCTCGGGTTTTCCATCTTTTCCAAGAAATAGTTCTGGCAGGATCTCCCGGCATATCTCTTCCAACTGAGAAGGATTAACTTCTGCCATTAACTCAAAATAATCAGAACCAATCTCTTCTTTCTTTTTTGTCCATGTTGCTTTTCTTTCGTCTTGTTCCTCTTTGGTTTGATACAAGTTTTCGATGTTCTTTTCAATTTTATTAAGATGTGGAACTTGGTAATCTTTCTTTGGTTCTCCATCTTTGTCAAGAAAGTATGCTGGAAGAATCTCTCTGTAAATGTCTACCATGCACTTCGCGAAAAGTTGACCGATGTAGATTACATTTCTTGATTTTTCTAAATCATCAGTTTTTGCCTTGTATGCTGCCACTTCACGTTTGTGTGTCTCCAAGTCGTCTGTTAGGTTTTTCGTTTTTATGTTCATCTCTTCTCTAAGAGACTCGAATTGAAGTTGGAATTGACTTTGTACCTTTTCAACAAAACTGACTCTATGCTCTATAAATTGGCGTATGCTTTCTTTGTCTTTCCTTCCTTCATTTTCAAGCTGCTCGATTCTTTGATCTAAACTAGCAATCTTTTCGTTTAGTTCCTTAATCGACATCTGGCAGTGACACCTGTTTGATCTGAAACGGATGCAAGAAAGCGATGAACTCAATAATTAATTTACTCAATCTACTCACCTTAAGGGCCTGCGCAAGAATTATCAGGGAGGGGAGGTTGATACATATTCCAGTCCAGTTTTGGCTAGAACTCACGGGGAAAGGAAGTTCAGTGTATATTGCTTTCGCATGTGCAGAACGAGCCAATCAGATTAACAGTTTCACAGGTAGCGACTTCTTTTGAATTCAGAACTAGCCGCTGCTGAATTAAGGACATGCCTTCATTTCTATTCATTCAGGCGCATAGCGTGGATTTTTGTCTAGCACGCACATGTCATGGAGCGCGACACATATTATGGATTGGGGGGCTAGCGACCATCGAAGGCGAGAGTATTAAGGGGGATCTGGGGTCCTCCCTAGGAAATTTTGAAATAATAACTCTTGGAAATGCTATTTCCAGCGTTTGGAGGTTCTTCAGAATTTGAAAGATGGAAGGTCACAAAAGGATAACAAGTATATTTTAGAGATAAAAAAGAAAGAAAAAATATATGTATATTTAGGAGTATGAAGAAAGAATGTTTCAGACGTGCTCGAGTCGAGGTTCGAGCCTGGGATCCTAAGTTCTTTGGAACATATAGAACACGTGATCAAAGCCTTTAAAAAGTCTTGGAGGCTTTGATCATGTGATCTCCAAACACCACCAGGGTCATCTCCCCGACGACTGACTTGTTAAAAAAAAGTCATCCAAGATGGCCCTGGAATGGGGGTTGCTAGGGTTGCTAAAGCTTTTCACGCTATTATTATTTACATTGTACAAACAAGTGAAGTTAAGCCATTTAACTCGTGAAACGAAATTAACTTGAGTATAAATCGATCGCTGCATATGATCGCTAGGATCATTGGCGATCGACATTTTCGGCGATCGATTATATGGAAATCAGGCTTAATTGTCTGTCTGAACAATTTGAATCGAGTCTAAAAATTAATCCATAAATCACAAAGATATCTTATTAATGATGATTGATAAAAGCTAAACTTTGAACAGTTTCCGTGCGCTTGAGGGCTAGCTTTGAATTCATATCAACAGTTAATTATTATATTATATCTGTATCATTATAATTGACTTCATTTCATTAATTGGCATCATATTTGAAGATTGTATGTCAATTAACATTTCTATGAACAATTCAATCAAAACTGTCAGTTTTCAAAATAATTTTCAATCTTACCTTGAAGTACGGTCTGGAGGAAGTTGTGACAAGTCTGAACTATTATTATGAACTATTAGTTTGCATACCAGCTTAGTTAATCATGACCCTTACTTCAAATAACCCCTTCATCCCCTCCCTAGGGCTTGGAATATGCTTAAATATTTTCAATTATTTTTATAGATCTATTTAATAAATTGTTCTAAATACATGACAGTGGACTCTCTGTATACTCGCTGTACTTACAGTACAAAGAAGTACAGAGTATCTGATGCAACATCGATCTATAGTTAATCATCACCGATTCCTCACATTCTCCTCCCTTGGAAAGTCACAACAGACGTTTTCCTCCCTTCTTAAAAATCAAAGAACAATATTAGGATACCACGGATAGGCTTAAACAAGTTTTTAAGGCCTCTATGAACTCGTCATCGCAGTTGGGTTTTTATAAATGAAAATTGGTAAGCTTTCTCTTCCGTTAAATATGTATTATTCACTGCATTTATGAACTTTGAGTTCATATTCATGTCTTGAAAGCACTTAGTCAGTTAAATGAGGTGCTGGACGATTTAGAACGCTGACCTTTATCAAAATAAGAAAATATTTTGTAAACAATGACGTTGAGATAGGTCTATGCAAGTTTTTGTGACACATTCAACTCGACGAGTCAGACGAGGCGTTTGTAACTTCAAAACTTGTAGGTTTTCGTGTCAAAGTGTTGTTAAGCAAACTATTGTTGAGATTTGCATTTATATCTTGGAATCAATGAAGAGATTTAGTATATGAAGTGCCATGTTACTGAACTGAACACAAGGAAAACCAATAAACGGAAATTTTAGTTCATGTTGAAACATGTTATCTAAAACGAAAGTTACTTTTGACCCTGGTTCTCTGCTTAGTAAATAGACTGAGTGTCTATTCTGAATGTACTTTTACAATATGCAAAGTAATATTGTTGCTGTTATTATCCAGGTTGTAATCATGTTGTAATACTATTATTGACGCTGACAATCACTGATTGCTTCATTTGACTCATATTGTTTTTTTTACACATGTCTCCACTGTTGATGAAAATATCCCAAGCACAATTTTTGTAATTTAGGTTAGTTCTCTGTTTGTAATTAAAAAGATTCAGCGTCTGAAAAATGAGGATTCGAGAAAATTTCCCTATACACATAAATTTTCAATAATAGCGGAGCTCCCGCGCGAGCGGAGCACCATAGCTAAGAAAAAATGGTATACCATCGAGTCGATTTTCCATGGACCGACACAGGGCTACCGCGCGTACGCACGTTTCCTTCCGTCCGTCCTGGATTCCGTGTACCACCACAGGAAACCCATACTCCGCTCGAAAAGGAAACAAAGCGCCAAGTATTTGTTGAAAAATCGAAATTTTTTCCTTAAATATTGATAATATTAGAAGAATTAATCACAAGCAAAAAAATCCACATAAGAGCGAAATAACAGCACAGAAATATTCCCGCCAATTTTGTCATAACTTCGACGCGTCCGTACATCCGGGAAATCGATTTGCGAAGATGAAAAGCAATTTAGGGCCATCTTAAAAGTGATATTAGAAAAAAGGATTTTACTTTGATATTTCGACAACAAGAAAGAGGTGATACTTTATTGGAAATACTTCAATAATATGGACCAATATGGGAAAAAGAAGGGATCTATGCGAAGTTCTTTTGTCGACTATTAAAAAAGTGTGGACATTTCGAAACCAAGACCATGCCAGCAGTTAGATTGAGAGAGATTAAACTTTGGTATAACTGACTATTACTCAGTTTTAAAATTAGAACGGAACCCAAAAAAAGTGAAATAGATATACACTTAGTAAGCTYATAACATTATTTCTATTTTTCCAATTTTGTTTCATTGCACACTTATAAAACTTTCTTGTAGCTAATAATTTTCCTTTGTAAAAATAATTTATTAAAATAATTTCATTTTGTGTCGATTTTATTAGGCGTGTTTTATTATTAACATGCATGCTCTACMTCTTTTGTGAAGCCTAAAAACGCAATAATCCCAGGCGAGTAATTTTAAAAGATTGCGAACACAAATAATATGATAACATCATAGTTTAGTACGTCACCAGGCCATACTTTTATCCATTTTTAATAAAGTTCGAAGACAACAAAGAGATATTGTAACCAAATACAGCTGCATATAAGTACAATGTGCTAGCTAAGCGCAGCTAGAGCAAATGATAATGTTAAGCAGGAGATCTTAGTTACATAAGTCAAAACAATTTCCAGTTACCTAAACAACGGGCCAATGTAATGCTTCAAACGTATGCTGGTATTTCTCCATGCAAAATTGAAGGAAACTCAGTTAAGAAAAGAGGCAAAAAATGTGATGGGTAGCACAGCTCAATTATTTTAAACAACTGATTAACTGGCAAAGGTAGCACTTAGGCTTTTCCAAATTCAATGTTTCCATTTGAGTAAGAAATAAGAAGCAACATTGACTAAAACAATTATTACTTGCTTTACATCTTTTCACTGCATAGTAAAGGACATAAAGTCTGCTCCATATTTTTTCGACTTCACTGAAACACAAGTATTATTACAGATTGCGAATGAACAAGAAGAAAACTTGGACTTCGGCTTTCGTTACCTTATCAGTTGGATTTTCAATTATTATAAACTTATTTTGAAGGGGTAAAGCATCAACATTTCATGACTCTCTCTTGTAAAGTCCGGGTAACTAAGTCTTTGGACGTCAACTTCAATGTGGGAAAAATCACAAGCTATTATTTCATATCCCCACCCTCACAAGCGTGAAAAGAAAATCTTGTTACAGCAGCCAATGAGAGCCTGTTATACATAACCGTGCAACTCTGCTGGTGGTCTAGAACACGAATTCCTGCGATAATGCGCAGACGGTTCTTTTGGCAAATAAAACCGGATGTAACGCAGGCTACAGCCTGTATACTCGCTAGATTTGCATTTGCTGCACGCATTTTAGAACGTATACCAGTGCCCCCTGGTACGTCACGTAAAAAGAAACTCGCGGCCTTTTTAAACCGTGCCGTCGACCTTCAGCCTGGGCACGGTAAAAACATTTATTTGATGAATATTATAAACGTTACAAGTCTTACAAGTCATCCCAAAACGATACAAAAGAGTATACAAGTTCAGTGTTTTTTTCTACCTCATTCCATCATTGTTTTCTTTGATTTGCTGGTATATATTTCAACAGTGTGGTTTACACCGTCAAATTCTTTGCCATTATTGGAAAAATTTTTATTAAGAATATCATGAAACTGCTTTTCAAATGCGTCTTTATCATCATTACTTGCTGTAATTACTCCTCCATACGAGAGGAAATGCTTGACACATTGAGATTGGGTGAGCTTTTGAAAATTTTTAAACTGCAAGTGACTTTTAACTTTACAAAAATATCCTGAATTTTCTAACACTTTTTTCCACTTCCAATCATGTTCGAAAGGCACTTGGGTCTTCTCGTAAGCCTGGTGCACAAGTTTGTAGGCATCGAGCATCCATTGTGGGCTATCTATCTCGCTTGGGAGGTTTGTTATAAATCCTAACATSCCATTGGGCTCTAATACACGATACATCTCGCGATAAGCTTGTTGATTCGCAAACCAGTGATAGCTGGCTGCTGCTAGKATTGCACTTACACTACTGTCAGGTAATGCTAGAAAGAAAGAAAATAACTTGGTATAGTACAAACCCTTAAAGAGTRCTGTTATGCAAAAATAACAACCATAAAATATTTATCAATACTACTCGAAATCGAACATATGAATTTGTTTTCAACTATTCCAAAACGTTGTGCAATAGTTTTAAGTTAACCATGATGTCCACCGCTTTTCTGGATCTCATCAATGTTTTGAGATATTTGGCAAAAACGACTACTTCGACAAAATGCGATTTCCGTTTGCATAGGTAACGTTGATGGAGCTAAATATTATGCCAAACAAAACTTTGGTCCATGCTTTAATACTGGTCCAAACACCAATTAAATCGGTGCATGGCAAGATTTTCAAAAAGCAAATTCAAAAGGAGAGGTATGGTCGAAAAAAAACTATAGGAAGCCACCTAAAATTTAGATTTTATTTGTTCTATCTTCGGCCTGAAACGCACATTTCTGCAGGACTCAATTCCATTTTTGGATTCTTAACATTTTCGAAGAGCATTCACGATTTTTTTTTCACAGCCTTAATCATTCCCCTGATGTTACTTACGAATGTTTTCTGCACTACAAGACAGCATTTCAACATCCGGCAAACTCTTAGCAAATGTCGTCCTCATGCTGTCAGTCGGGTCTGATGCAATGTACCTCACATTCGTTGCCTCTTCCAAAACACCCGTTGCAGTCTTCGTGAACAATCCTGTTCCGCAACCTAGCTCAAGTATGGTAATAGCATTGCGGCCACTAGAAAGAGCTCCAACYTCTTTGAGGAGGTACTCAACGGACTCAACAGTGTAAATAGGCCTTATGAAATGGTAGTCGTCGCTTCTCTCGAAAGCATTTTCGGCAACTTTGAGCTGTGCTTGGAGDTTATCAGTCATGTTGTTCACGTTAGACATGGTCTTTCTGTAAAAGAACAAAGTAAACGGACAAAAATACTAATTAGAGGGCGGATAGAAAATAAAAATACTTAAAATACAAAAATACTTATTAGAAGGCGATCAAACAGATAGCTGCTGGAACCCAAAAGATTGAGGCAGAAAATAAAAACTTCTAAGAGACAAAAGCAGTATTTCTTGGCTCACAAGCTTTTCAGATTGAAATAGCTGGCCACTTCATCAACATACTCATACTACAGGAGTGACATGTGTAAGCCAAATGGGAACATGCCACTCTATCCCTATCAATAGCATAGTCATTGAGATATGGAAATAGTGCATTAAAAATTACACGATATAGAAATGAAAGAAAGTTATAGTGCTTAGAAGGAGGCAATTCCGGGAGAAAGACCCTTAGGAAGAAGGGAATTGCCTCCTTCTAAGCACTATAACTTTCTTTCATTTCTATATCGTGTTTATCATAGTGCAATATGGTCCTCATATTCATATCTTTACATTAATAATGACATTTGGCTAACAGCTTCATACATTGCTGGCATTGAAAACACCGTTGCTGATTTAGAATCACGCAAATCTCGCAGAGAGACTAAGTGGAACCTGGACCTAGAATTTTTCAAAAGSCTATTACAGACTCGTAACATGGGTATATGGGCTCAGGGCTCATTGCTTAAATGGCCGGGCTCAATTCCGAAATCTTGGTTGGGCTCTGGAATCAAAGTGTTAGGCTCACGGCTCAAKAGAAAAAAATCCGGATACTATAATAATAATGCATTTAATTTGTTTTAAAATCATTTTTAATTGTTCTGTAAAAAAAGCATCTAAAAAGCACTAATTTTAACTGCGGAATATTCGGAAAAGCATCGTTTCCGAAGTAGGTAGTTCCGAATACCRATGAGGTTYGTGCACATGTTCCGTGCAGTCAGGTAATTCGATCCCATCTTTAGGTGGCGTGGTCGTTCTGGAATACAGTAAAAACCCGCGTATAAGAACCTAACATTTAAGAACCTGTTAGGCTAAAATTTCATTTTTAAGCACCCTTCACATAAGAACCATTTTAGGCTAAAATTCTAAAACAGGTTCTTATTTTGAAAAAAAAGGAAATTAAAAATAAGTGTCGTATTTTGCTTACCGAAACCTAGGTTCTTATACGCGGGTTTTTATACTGTATCTGGAAAATTAGTCTTTCAAAGTTCAAGTGGTCTTGTAAGTTCAGCCAATATTTYGTTTTTGATGATTAAAAATGGGAAAGAATAAAAGCAGACTTGTAACATGGTATATTCAGGATCTAGTGAGCCATATTTTTTTGGTGAAAATATTGATCCCTGAGCCTGTGCAACAATTTTGAGCCCATTTAATTTGTTTGCTCAAATTGCTTTGAATAGGGTTCAAAAGATCTTAGCTAAAACCGAACGAAGGAGGTCTCCTTATACACCCTTTTAATAAGTCTCGAGGTATTGTGTTCTCCGCACTTGACGTCAAATTTATTCTTTTGAATTCCTTTTGTATTGTAAAAATTTCAAAAGAATAAATTTGACGTCAAGTGCGGAGAACACAATACCTCTGGACTTATTAAAAGGGTGTATACAGTATGACAAAAAATACACATAATAACACAAGTAGTGTCATGGCTCGAAGGAAATTAGGAGGAATTGAATTTTCACGCGAAATACGGAAAGATCCGAGTCAACTTTGTAATACCATTATTCGCGAATTTTTTACGTGGGCTTCCTGTGGAAGCACACGTCTAAAAATGCAACTTTCTTTTGGTGGTGAATATTACGCTTCAAATTGGTAGCGCATCGATAGCGCATGCGTTACAGTCTCAGTTTCCATGGAGATGTCAAAATAAACMAATMAGYGATYTTTGGTAGCGCCTGCGTTGCAGATGGACTGCAGTCTCAGAATGAAAACAAATGGCTGACAGACGGCGGCAAAAAGTTGTCTCGTTTCAAATGGTTCTAAAATGTAGCTAAAATGCTCTAAAGAGCTGAAAATCTTACAAAATCAACTGATTACCATCCAAACGACATGGATTGAGGTATATAATTCAAGATTAGCGGATGATTCGTGCAGAAATGACTGGGCATTTTCTACCGCCGACTCGAAGAGCAGTACTTCTTCGTCACACAAGTGTTCGATGTCAAACACAAAATCTTCAAAAATAAGAAGTCACATGGATATTTAACGTTCATACTTTGACAGAAAACAATCATTCGATGGAATAAAGCATATCAAACCTCATCTGAAAAATATTGATGCCATTTTCTAAACTAACGATGTGTTTGAAGTTCGGAAAACTGCACGTGTGAGCTTTACTGAACTCTGTATACAAAATCTATATTGTGTATGAAGCATTTTAATTCTCTATTGTTTGTTTTGATGATTGTTTAACTTGAAAAACTTAGACAAATCCAAAAATATGAACTGTCATTAGAAGGCTAAGGTACACCTTTATGATGGCACAGAACACCAGATTTACAAATTAATGAAAAACACCAAATAAAAAAGAACAGAAACACAAGATACAGATACATGATTCAAATGATCAAAATATTATTCAAAGTTATACTGCCAAGACTGTACCGTTTCTATTGTTTATGTGACCTATATGACCTATCAGATATTTTGAATAATATAGACGCTCTTGAGCGTAAAGTCGAGCTAGTTATTTTGGAAAACTGAGAAAAAAGACATGGTATCCAAAGAATTTACTTAGAGTTCAGTTCGGTAAAAAATTATGATGTAATAAATTGATAACATATTAACTTAATTCTGTCTTGACTTATTACAAACAAAGACTATCTTGTGAAAATGAAACACCACTGTCACAGGAAGCCCACGTAAGCGATCCATGATCGTCTAGTTTTCTAAAAATAGATGTCAAGGCTCAGAGTTGATTTATGTGGTCATGTGGAGCCTAAAATTGATTTCTTATTGCAGAAAGAATGAACGCTTTACTAAATGAGCTATAAAACAATTTTGAGGAAAGATAGCTACAAGGACATCAAGTTGCCATGCAACTAAAATAGGTGTACATGATTGAGAAGTTCATAGGCAAAATGATTTAGTAAAACATGACGACATTATGTTATAGCCCTCCACTGTACTGAGAATTATTAATATCTGCCAAATCATCCATTAATGTAAGAACAAATGATTAAAAATATAAATGAGTGAAATAGAATAAATTCTTTATTGCCATAACCTTCCCTCTTATTCTTTTACATGTTAATTGTTTTGCAAGCGATTTTAAAACAAAATGTTGTCATGAAGTACAAATTGCATCCAATTCACATGGCTATAAGAACAGGCACCAGAGCGTCTTGTTTCTTAAGATAAACCAACGACAAAGTATGGTTTTGACCACATTTCAGTCGCCATTTTATCTTCTCCAAGTCAGTCACCCTGTATGATTTTTAACCATATTTAAGTAGATATACTCCAGAAATTTAACTTGAATAAGACTTTCAACACATATTCGATACTAGACTTGACGTTTGAACCTAATCATATACTCGTTGAAGAATGAAAAAGCGTATTTTCCTGAACGTAAATTATGTAAAACATCTCGACCGAGAACGAGCTGCGAAACAGTGCTTTGACCAAGGTAGCTCAAGCGCATCGTGCATGCTTGCTTGTATTATTAGAGAGTTTTAGATTCACGTTTACTGCAAACGCCAAGCGTCAAATTGGCTTTTATGCTTTGTCTCAAAATTTCAAACAAACCGCGTAAAAAGCGCTTCGAAAGGAATAGTGATGCGCTTATGCACGAAAAAGTGATCTATTTCATACACAATCGCGAAAGGACGGAGCGTTAATACAGAAAAACAGTGATCACGTGATCAGTTTTGACGTTTGCCGTTCGCCGTAAACGCGTATCTAAAACTGTCTATTGTTTCTTTTGCCACAAGTTCTCGCTGATCTCGATAATGCCCGACCAGTCATTTTCTTTCGTGACACTCACTCATATTCTGAAAGTTCATTTAGAACTTAAAAATATGCCTTTAGGCAAGAAACCTGCCGTTAAGGTCCACAAGAGTGATTTTATGAATTCAATCATTCTCAAATCAGCTAGAGAGGCTCACTATAACATGCGTTGTATCCTTTCTTTTCCTGGCTATACAAAATTGCTAGAATGTGATATGCCTTGAGCTCGCGTACCAAAGTGAAGCTAGCATGACATTCGCAGCCTGAGATTCACATAGCCTGAGAATGAGATTCGTTTCCGGAGGGGTCAAGCACTTTTCTTTTATTATCGCTTAAATCCTATTATATCGTGAAAATGATCAATAAAAACCCTTCCATTGTCTAGATCTCGCCTTTAACGATCGCTATGAATGCAATTTTCACGACAAAATTCAAATTCAACAAGAATTTAAACATTTTAAGCCTTCTCGCCCATTGTAAGAGAATCCGGAATCCGGAATCCAGTAAAAATACAGTTTTGGAATCCGGAATCCCTGTCCTGGAATCCGGAATCCAACTATTTGGAATCCAGAATCTGGATAGTTAGGAAGATTGCTTTTATCAGTGAAAATCTAGCTGTCTAGAGGTGAGAACGTACATCCAACTGATATGCTGTACTTTACTGTACTTCTCATATACGTAGTTTGTTTGTCTGCGTGCGACAATTGGAGACAGTGCAAATTAGTGACGCGCTACCCTGCGCAGGCTACTGACGCTGAATATAATTTTTTTAGGAAAAAAAGACACTGAAAATCACTCCATTCATTATCCGGAATCCAAAACAAAAATTCTTTGGAATCCGGAATCCCAAGGCTTGGAATCCGGTATCTAATGCTTCGGAATCCGGAATCCAACGCTTGGAATCCGGAATCCTCTAGTTCTCTGGATTCTCTTACATGGGGCGAGCCTTCAGCCTTAGATTCACAGTTCAGCCTGAGATTCAAAAGAAAAAAACAGTCAGTTCAGTCTGAGATTCAAAAGAAAAAAACAGTCTCACATGTCATCCTGAGATTCGCTTGTACTTAACGTAAAATTGTTTTA